CAGGATAATAATAATAATTAAAAGCCTGGGGAAATCTGGCAAAAGGGCAGGGATTCAAGCGAATCCAGGATAATAATAATTAAAAGCCTGGGGCAATCTGGCAAAAGGGCAGGGATTCAAGCCCGGAACGTGTGTGCTACCAAACACGGAGAAAACTTTACAACTGAACGCAGATCCAATGTCGTACCTAAATTAAAACCGCGTATGAAATTCGAGTCACGTATAACGACTGATTGATTGATTGATCGATCGATTGCTACACTGCAGTATGACACTGAAGCAGAGTGTGGTTGGTCGCAAATCTGGCATTCGCATGGAGAGACTGAGGGGAACCACGAAAAATGTCCAGTCTTGTGAGCGTTGATTCAGCAGAGACTCTAAGCAGCTACTCAAATTGCCAACAAGTGCTTACAGCTCGTAGTAATCTTACATCTATTCAATTACAAAGACAATCACTAGTCATAACATTTCTTGGTCTGCTAAATATTTAACTAAACGTAGTTAAACATTTATTTAAATTTCAAAATCCTCATCGCTCAAGATGGCAAAACGAATATCTAAAAGCCTGATTCACACACACAGGGGTGTGCCCGTCTCGTAACTCTGCAGGGAACCGTCTACAATAACCCAAGTGTTTCACGGTCTTTCTCAGTTCCACCAAGTAAATACCGTTAAAGTAGTTTAAAACAAATGACGACGGTGTGAGTGTATTCTTTACTCATTATTATCTTTAAATAACTTATTAGACGCTACAAATCTCAGTAACTGATATAATACCTTACGTAAGCTATAATTAAGAACAAGAACTCTTTAACGAATTATTTTCACTCTCATTGAAGGATTTTACTCGAATTTTAATGAAAAATAATCGGGTAATGTCGTCAGGGTAGCCTTCTATTGCACCAAATATCAAATTTAAACACGTATGGCTTTAATTAACGGTAGAACCAAGTGAGGATACGGTGGCCTGTCTCTACAACGCAGCCATAAAAAATAACTCGGAATTTTGTAACGTGATCAAACACGCCGACCTGCGTTCTTATACTTTTAAGTGCTTTCATATCCCTGTGGGTAGCTCCGTCTGTCTTTATACCCATCACTACGCATGAAACAACTTGAAAACGGCCTTTGTACGTTCCAATTTTTGTTTAAATCGGGCAAAGAATAACACAGACTTGTAATTATGTGCGGCTACTTAAATGGGAGAGAGAGGATTCTACAGGCTACATTTCTTACAATGATTAAAGCTCAAAGGTCAAATTCTGGCGAACGCGCATGAATTGTTACGTGTTCGTCCAAAGCACGGAAGTGCTCGCACATCCGGTCATGTGGTCTGAACGTATTTCCTTCTTCCGTATATCGACGAAAGCGAGGCGTCGCGACGCCTCTCATATAAACATCCTCATTTCTCCAACATAAACTATTCTTAATCCTTACCACGGGTCTACACAACGATAATAAATTTTCTCTAATTAAAAAATAACATGGAAAGGACTGAAAACCTGACAGATTGTCATTCTCGGTGGCGAAATTTGCCACTATTTTCCACGACCTCACAGAATATCCCTCATTAGAAAATCCGATTCTTACGTCACGCCAAGGAGTAGGCCTTGTGCACTTGTATTTCAAGAAAATATGCACGTTCCTTTGTTACAAATGTCACTCAATGCCCATACGCTGTTATTAATAACACGCCCTGAAGGTCAACGTCGTCACTAATATCTATTAATCTTGAGTCCTGAGGAACAAAACTTTCAAGGTCAGGGGCTTAGACAGGCGAGCCAACACAATTCGGATTGGAAATAACAATAACGTAGAGAAACCAGCAAAAGAATTGAAATTAATTAGTTTCCTGTGTTCCTTCCACGTGACTGGAATCCTGTCTTTTATTAGAAAATGAAATTAATTCATAGCTTAGAATAGGTTTTAAAATTCCCCTTTACTAAGATATTCTCTGTTCATGTTTCCAAGTGTTCTTTGCATGGAATTCACAAAATAGCGTATAAATGAGAAGGTCGCTTATGTCAGGAAACGACTGCGTATTTCTCAAGGCTTTATCTACGAACAACGTCTCGGAGGAACACGCTGCCTCCATTTTCAGGGCTGAATAATAAGGCAGTACGCTTATCTAAATCAAAAATCGGTATCTACCTACAAGTCCATACCGTTTTGAAAGCCCGGAACGCTAAAATATAATTTTTATTACATTTTACTCCAATTACCCCAATATGTTTTAATTTCATGTTAGTGTCAGGTACTGACACTAACATGAAATTAAAACATTTCAGACACATAAAACGTCTCGTCGTATAATAAAAAAATAAGGTATATAACGTAATAGACGTGTCTAGCAAGAGCATGTCAATCTGTAAAACAGTTCACGTCTCGAGATCAATTCAGGATCGGAAAACGGCAGGACGTAACCCTGGAGGAAGACGCCGCCGCCTCGCACTGCAAGCAGATATGTTATGAGGGTTGCATACGCAGGGGAAACTCTTCCTGGCCACGGTCTGACTCGACTACTTCACTTCGTCTTACCACCATAAGTAAGAGTTATTCTGATTAGTACTCACGCTTTGCATTCGAGATAACGTGATTTGAATTCTGAACCAGAGATCGATAATTTTACGATTTTTATATTTTCCTATCCTGTCGTGCGAATTCCGGGATAGCAGTTTCAGCAGGCTATCACTCCTCCTCCTCCTCCTCCTCCTCCTCCTCCTCCTCCTTCTTCTTCTTCTTCTAACATCCTTCCCAGATCACCGTTTATAATATCTTACGCGCTACGTCACCTTTGAAGTACAGCGTCTTTAAAATAAACCAATAAGCAATATAAATGTCATCTGGGTTGTAGCGCCGTGCAGTCTAGTATAAAAGTTTACAAACGTTTCGGGGGTCCCCAATACCTCCATCATCAGGGCGATATCAGAGAAACTCGGCTCTACAGCTTAGAAGACAGCCATCTTCGTATTCACAGCAGTGAGAACCACAACTCCTAACCAGTCCCTTGCTACCAAAGTGTAGTTTTCACATAGAATAGCGGAATTATAAAGAACAATAATAAAACTATTTCGCAGGTGATTACTTAATGTCTAGATAGCCAATAAATCCTTCGGAACAGCGACGGAGTTCAAATATTTCAAAACGACAGTCAAAAATTTAAAATACATTGATGAGTAACTTTTCCAGTTGAGAATATTTTATATCTACGTATACATCTTAAGAATGCCAACATTAAAATATAAAATTTACCGCACTAATTACACATCGTCTCTCAACGCACAGGGAGAACACAGGCTGCGGGCGTTTGACGACAAAGTGTTGATAATGGCTGGACCTAATTAAGAGGAAGTAAAAGGCGGGTGGATATTGATGAGCCTCTTAAAACACTGGCTGATGAGAAGGGCGGGGGAAGATGATGAATAAGTAACTAACTAGATGGCTTACGGAACCCGAAGGTTCATCACCGAATTAACCAAAGCCCTCCACCGGACCCTGTCCTGGGCCAACATAATGCAGTCTCCTTCAACTCCTATCTCCCATAGATCCCGCCTGAGATTATCCTCCCATCTACGTCTAGGTCTCCCCAGCGGTCTCTTCCCCTCAGGCTTCCCAACCAATACCCGGTGCACACGGCTTGTCCCATCCATGCGCGCTACATGCCTCGCCCATCTCATTCTTCTCGACTTAATCACCCTGACAATATTGGGTTGTTATGAATGGGTAGAGTATTTCAAAAGCCGGAGAATCTGAAGGGATGGGACGATTTGTAAAATTGACAAGTAACCTCCTATCCAATGGGTACCGAGGTCCTTTCCCGGGGGTAAAGCCGGCCGGGGCGTGATGCTGACCACTCACCCCATCTAGTGCCGAGGTCAAGAATGAGTAGGAGCTATACCCCTCTCCCCCCCCCAAGCGCCTACATGGCGTGAAGCAGGATAGTTTTACTCTTACTTTATACTCCATGCTGGAGTACACGTTGCCGACCGCGTGACAGCAACAGGGACCCTCTCATTTACCGTAGCCTTGCTCCTACGGGAATTCAATTATGTCGTCCGCCAACGGCCGGAATAGTAATTAATTAGCGGCTGAAAATAAGCGTGTAATTGGAAAAACGATTAGCAGCTAAGTTTGTTATGAGTTTCGTGACCTATTTTTAACACGTCCGTGTACAACGCGGGAGAAAATTAAAAAGACGCTCTAGCTGCTTTGCGAACTGTCCGCAAAGTGGCAGAGGTCTTTCGACACGGTGAAAGAGTCCGTCCGCTCTTTACTGAGACTCTGAAAACTTAGCTCGGAGCTCGCATTGTTCTGATGTGAGGTACTCGTCTTTGTAAATCACGCGCAGGCGGGGTATCTCGGAACGGAAGGCGATTGGTTTCCGTGCATATGCCACGCTCCGAATCATTCGACCACGATGATACACGTCCAAGACGAGTATCGCCAATAACAAAGTAACTCAAAGTAAGAAAGAAATGGACTACCAAGCGAATGTTCGTCAGCTGTGACGTTGTCTTCTTAAGAGTCAGTAGAACTCGCGCAATCCTGACGCGGCCAGAGAGAAAATAGAAGCAAATAGGAACGAAACCCCCAAGATCATCTGCCCTTCCACGCACCCCTTATCTTATATGACACAAATTCCGGGCTGCATCTGACACAGATGAAAAGTATCGATACTGCAACGCGAAATCGATTACTCAGGACTTCGAGTAGAAATGAAGACTACTAATTAATACTGAAATACAGTGAGGGGAAAATGAATATACCCAATATGCCGTAAACCTCCATCCTCCAACACAATTTTAATAATACGAAATGAAAATAACATCAAAACTACGTTCTACGGTACGTTGACCTTTATGAACTTGATTAACAGAAAACTTGCAGTCTTGCATAGTAAACCTGTGCCTCGACGTCCTCGTTACGTCGTCGTGGTACGTTGCTACACCTTTAACGTTACTCACGTAAATATCCGTCGTAAGTGAAGCTGTTTCGCCTACCTTTTTGAGGTCCTTGTTCGGTTCCCCGTCTTCCGCCTTGCGTTTCTCGCTGCAGCCAAGTTTGTTGGTGGTATCGGCAGCTCCTCCCGAAGACTTGTCCTTCTCCCCTACCTGAAACAAAAGATCCTGGTGTTGAGTATCTCCACGAGCAAATCGGCGCAAGGCGATTACATCGTGCTCTCCTCTACCTGCGCATCCGAACAAGTTGAAAAACCTGAATACCGCAAATGACGAAATGCACGATTGGAAGCGTCCCTAAGTTCTGTTTATTAAAACCGTGCAAACCAAAATGATTTACATACCTGGGCCACAACTCAATTAAACATTGTACGTCGTTGGTGGGCTTTAGTCCTGCGCAAATTTAATCACAGACGTTTCGTCAAAGTAAAATCACTTACATAAGTTTTGTCCTTGCGTTACCTAAATTGAAGGGCCACGGTGGTCTAGCGGTTAGAACGCTGGCCTTGTAATCCTGGGGTCTCGGGTTCGATTCCCGGCGGTGCCCGAATTTATAACTTGTGTTGGGCAAGGCCGTGGTCTAGGCGTCACGGAGTTTTCCTCCGTGGCATCCCAACAATTACTCCATTCACACACAGAAGAAGGCAATGGCAAACCACTTCTGGATCATCTGCCAAGAACGTATATGAACAGGTCCCAGTCCGAGAAAAGGATGGAAGGATCCTGTTCATATGGACCTGTCGTCAGACAGAACACGAAATAAAAAACCTAAATTACTGGTGTCTCGTTCTTTGCAGCATAAATAAGATCAAACGATCACAAACAGCAAGGCTTTTACCACAACAACTAACAGGCCTACTCAGCGGGTTGGCTGTGTGCTTAAGTGATTCTTTGGAGACAATAAATAAACTGTCCAGTGATTTGTACCAGCAAACTCACAGACCTCATATGGTCCAGTAATTAACTCATCTGCGGGTGAGATATGTCGCTTCATGCAGGCGCCTTTATCACGTGACAGAAGCCGCAATTAGGGGGCGGCAGACAGCTGACCGCCGCCAGCTGTGGACCGACCAACCACTCCGCATGACACCGACAATCTCCGTTTTTTAGTATTCACTTAAGCCGCGCAAAAAAACTGATGTGCCACTTGGTACACGGAAGTCGAAGGACAGTCTAATATTTATTATGCCCTCTGAACAATTTAAGGACAGAATTATTCTCAGCTGAATTTTCAACGGGGCCTTAACACAAAACCTTCACAGCTGTGCCCACTGAGTATAGCAGGAAATTTAAATCAGGACGGTTACTAATCTGCTAAAAAGCGTTCACTTTGAAGATCAAGAAGATGTAAGGAGCGTAGTTACGTGTACAGTCAATGACAGAACGTTGGCAAGTCATTTGGATAATCAGGCCGTGTATGAGGGACCAAGTGTGACATTCTGTACGGCGATAAGGCAGACCACGCGTTGCCAGTGAAGCACAAACCATCTCCACAAACAAAGCAAACTGAAACATCGACCTCAAAAAAAAAAAACTCAAATGTCACAACTTGGTGAAGTTAACACGTGACCCAAAAGGGCCATTTTACGACCCTCAAGCCTACACAGTAAATTAACCCATAATATATATAGGTCAAAAGAAAGGAGAAGACCATAAAACCGTGCAGAGCATTAAAGGGTGGAATAGTTAGAATTTACGACGAAAAAGTTAATCAGCCACCAGCAACATCCATCAGCTACGAACGTGATTTAAATGGGAGGTGCAAACACACATTCCACGGCGTCGCAAAATCATTACTTTACATTTCGAAAAGGCTCTTTACACTAATAAAACCCACACAATCATACATGCGAAATCATTCAACAGTTTGAGGCTTTATTAACTTTAATACGTAATTAATCCCATGGCGAAAGCTGTCCTTGAAAACTTCATCGTCCTTAGCCGGTCAAAAAACTTGCACTGTACCCTGAGATGCTGGAATGTCCGTCTACCCTCAATCTCACACGCCCTCCATCCTCCCTCCCAGGGTGTCCGATCAACATTACATACCCCACGCGTGCTACCCACAAACCCAGCTTATGATTATCGATTTAATCACGCTAAATTTATTAGTGCGTGAAGACCAAACATTAGAAGCTCCTATGTCCTTCTTATCTCGCTACTGCTTCCTTATTTAAAGCAACTACTGCAGTCAACACTTTGTTCTGGAACACCATCGAACCCCTCAGTGCGAAGATATTACAATAACAAATAAATTCTCTGGTATTACAAGCAGAATTTTCTACACCTTTGACACCTGAAACCACATACCTGAGAAGATTCTGAGTCAGTTTCATCCAATATTTCTCTCAAATTTCCTTCTCCTTTACCGGTTGGAGTAGGTAATGCCGCAGACTTGCATTCAGAAGATAATAGAAATAATTATTATATTTGTTTACCGCCAAATCACAATAAAATAGTAAGATAAGATAATTAAAATGATTAAAATATCATCTTATGTTCCATATCGAGCATTCGATTTACATCGATGATATTTTAATCATTTTAATTATCTTATCTTACTATTTTATTGTGATTTGACGGTAAACAAATATAATAATTATTTTAATTAATATCACAATATGACGCAACTATACTATCTCAAGATAATAGAAATAAAAATAATAAAATAATTTAATCACGTGATGATAATTTTGTGAGGAGTGGAAACTATGAAGTTCCTCCTCACTGTGTAGTTACCTCCAACCTCCTGTAACTTTATCCTCCTTTGAGTGTACTTTCATAAACCTGCAGCAAACTCTCTTGTAAAGCTTTTTACTGCGTGTGTAGAGAAAAGAATCAAGAAATGCGATGAAAATCCGTAGTGACGTTCCCATTAAAAAATCCAGAGAGACAGAACGTCATTCAAATATTCGCTGTGTACGGTTCTGCATAGTTATTCACACGTGAATTGCATATTTGTTACATTCGGATAATTTTCAAAAGATGCTACGGAACACACGAGACACGTGCGTGCAGATATTCTCACGTACTTAAAAAAAATTTCATGATACATAAAAAAATGTTTTTTTCGTTGCTTGTTCCCGCACTAAAAGGCTTAAAAATTAATATCTCTGCTAACATCCGATTTCGAACATCACTGCTCTAACACAGTTAACACAGAAATACAAAAAATATTCAGCGCAAATCATTCACAACCGGATATAAATTTGGGTTTAAGAAGGGCAAGGTTCGTGATGCGGGGAGGGGGGGGGGGCTCAATTTAATATTTTTCAAGCAGCACGATTTTTCACGAGATACAACTTTTATCTCAAGGGCATTTCAATATCCCCAGAGCCTCATTCTGAATTATTTACTATAAACCTCTTTCACCGTTTCAGCAATGCACGATATGACATCCACTAGCAATAACAACAGATTAGCATAAATACTTTATATTTTAAATTAACATCTTGTTCACTCACGAGCCATTATCAACTTACACTAACATCCCACTAATACCTTGTTACCAGATCGTCTATAGTAACTAGAAATGATAACAGCGAATTGCAGTAATTTTCGAGGTACGTTCTTTGTAATTTGAAACCACCTCGTGTGTTTGCTACACGCACAAACAAACTGCTCGAAAGCCAACGACACTACACAATCACGAACCACTCTTAGCACTTTAAAGCCTGTGGTAATTATATGTACCACATAAGGAAATAATAAATAATACGGCACTTTTTTTTATTTACGGATTTATGGATTTCCCTAAACAGCATTAACCAACCGATCGTTGTCACGGAGACGCGTTTTGTTTCCTTTGGAAGAAAGGGGATGGATTTCTAAATATTATTTAGATCAGCTTCGTGCTTCAGAGATTTAACGCCGAATTACAGTAAAATCTTTTACATTTGCATATTTTTTTAAGTGCACTGAGCAGAATACAGCAGATACATCGCACAGAATAAACTACAGACTTTCTCTATTTAATAACTCTTGTTCCCAGGCATGTGCTCTTTTTAATAGGGCAATTCCAAATAGTTGAAAGTACGAGCTCACGCCGTGCAGCACATATTAATTCTCCCCTCAGGTTGTGCCCCCCCCTCCACCCCCCCC